CTGACGACCATGCTGTTGTATTACAGGTTTCGAGACAGAACAATTCCCCCTGGCACGACCCTGCAGATTTCTTAGCATTCTGCCCAGGTTGGGCAGCTCGGTCCCTCCGAATCCGCCGGGGCCCCGCCAGAGGCCAGGCGCTAGGGGGAGGGGGGGGGAAGGGGCAGGCAGCACAGGGGGGGTTCGAGCTAGGCGGGGGCGGGGGCCGAACCAGGCGCCAGAAAGAATGCGCCAGGCGGCCTCTCGAGGCCCGCCGCCGCATCACCCCGCCAGCTGGCGGGGCAAGGCAGGCTGCTACCCACCAGGCGTCCTGCCCTGCACCTCCGCTGCCGCCCCTGTGGCGCTCGGGGCGCCTCCAGCACCCCCTCCAGCACCTCCCCCACCTCCCTTGCCGCCCAAAGCCTCGGTGGCCTTGGCGCGCACATCGACCTTAGGCGAGCTGGCGGTGGCGGCAGTGGCTCCGCCACCGCCTGCGGCACGGCCTGTGCCTGCCTGGGCGTAAGATCCAGCCGCAGCAGCAGCTGGGGGGGGCCCGCCAGCAGGCGGCGGAGCCGCGATGGGCTCGCCCTCGGCGTTGCCGCTCTCGCCCTTCCGCTTCTTCTGCAGCCGCTGGACGTGCTCGGAGTGCTCCTGTCGCAGCTTCTCGGCCGTCTCTTTGGCGGTGCCGAAGAGCTTCTTGGCCACTTCTTGCACCCCCTGCCACAGCTGCTCCTTCCTGGCAGCTGTGTCCTTCTTATCCGTCTCGGTGAACTCATAGATGTCGGCATGGCCGAAGAAGTCGTCGCAGCCGTCGAGGTCTATGCACGACACGTCCCCTGCGAGCAGCTGGTCCAACGATATCTTCGTCGTCCCCGCGGGCTTGTCACTGTGCGCCTGGCTGTGCATGGCGCTGAGCAAGCCCCTGTATTCGTCGTCCGCTTCACTGAGCTTCGTCTGCAACATCTGGACCTCTGCCTCTTGATCAGAGACTCCCTGGCGCAACCGCCCCAGCATGTCGATCGCCCCGTCCATCATCCTCTCGAGCTGCTCGACCTGGGCGCGCGCGCGGCGTGCCCGTACCTGGAGCGGAGGCTCCTGGGGCTGCTGCGCTTCCTTCTTTTTGAGTGCCAACAACTTCTCATACTTGGTGACGGGCCCTTTGTCGCCTGTCTTCTTGCACAAGGAGATGGGCTGGTCGATCTCGTCGATCGCGAGCTGTGTGTCCCCGTTGCCGAGGCCAGGCGGTGGTTGTAGCCCGACTGAACGAGGCCTTGTGCCCCCTGCGGCTTCGACCTGACACTCGCCTGCATCGCTCGGCGGGAACGCCCCAGGAGACCCGGCAGTGAAGCAGTGCCACATGTTCCAGCCGTGCTTCTTGCAGCCACAGTGCTCGCACCTCCACCGACGTAGGGGCCCCTTCGAGCCACTTCGCTTGGCACCCGTGCGGTCATCTGCCCACGATACAGTCTCCTGGCGCCTTCGTGAGCCGGCATCTCCCCACGCCATGAAGGAGCGCGGAACTTGGGAGTGGGAGCAGGAACGCACAGAGAAACAAAACAGTGAGGACCCTCGCTTTGGGCAGGGCCGCTGATCGAGGGTCGCGAGGGTCTCCTTGACCAGCTCGAGCCCCAACCCCAGGGAAATCGAAGGCCCCGGGCAATGGCCTTGAGCCAAATGGCTTGCGCCAGTGGCTACGGACCTCTTTCCTCCTCCTCCCCCTCCGTCTCCTCCTCCTCCTCCCCCTCATCCAGGAGGACTTAGGCATTGGGCTGTATGTGGACGACGTATCACGGATGCATATACATGCATATGAAGCGTCACCACGAGCTATGGAGCAACAGCTGAACAAAGCTACAAGCAAGCTGATCGCGTGCATCGGGGAGACGGGACACAAACTGAAGGAAAGCAAATCTAACCACATCACGAACGTTATCGGGACTGGATCGCTTGCAGCCGTCAAAAGCATTGCAGCTTCAAGAACAGTCGTGGGCATAGTCGTTGGGGAAGCACGCGCACTTGGTCCCGCGATATCGTTCGGCGGCAGCCTTCGAGCCGAACTTCGAGGGCGAATTAAGGCAGCCAGAGCTGGGTGGAGGTCGCTTGGCAAATTGTGGTCCGAGCCGATCCAACTGCGCATGCGAAGGCTACGTTTTGTTGCGTGTGTGCAAGGAGCAGGCCTCTCAGGTCTCACTGGATTTGTTCTGCCGCGCAGCTTCGCAGACAAGCTCGACGCGGTTTTCATCAGGTTTCTGCGAGTACTCAGCAGAGGTTCAACGGAATAATTCGATTGAAAAGAGAGAAGCGAGACACACACACACAAACGTCCTAAGCCAACACAGGATTTCTCGGGGAGTTGTGGAGTTGCGCATCCAGGGGATTCGGCGGTATCAGAAGATGGCCAGGGACCCCCAGCAGCACTCGCAGGTTCTCGCAGGGATCTTCGGAAGCACCCAGATGGACCTCAAAGTGGGGCGCCCCCGACTTGGACCCCAAGGAGAGCTAACTTAGCACAGCGCCCCGCGGGCCCGACAGTTCAAGGAGGACTTAGAAGTTTTCGCCAAGATCGATCCAGAGTCGCAGTTCGCGCAGGCATAGCAGAGAAGAGAAGGTTTACTCGATTTTCACGACGGAGAATTATCGCAAAGCGTTCTTCAAGAAACGCCCCAGCACATCATACACTTGTTCGACAAGCACTGCGAGGTAGAGGAGAAGGGGGAGGCCTTCGGCAGGAACGAGCATGTGGAGGGGGAGGAGGACACGAACGAGCATGTGTCCACGCACGAAATGCCAGAATGAGAAGTTTGTGGGAGCGTGTTGTTTCGACAATGAGGGCCTTGACGGCCCGCCTGAACAAGACCTACAACATGCGGGAGTTGTATTCCATGGTCACATCGACCAATGTGTGCCCTTGGTGCCGCAGAGCGTTTGCATCGAGGGCCGGCTGTGCACGGCGCGCGTGGACAATGTCACGTACGAGCCCCATGCGATGTCTAACCAGAGCCGTTTCTTTCGAGTTTGCGCCGGTAGAGACATCATCGTATACTTGTAGCTTGTGCGCTCACAGTACTTCAGGGCTCTCACAACCTCTCGATTACGCCAAGCAGCACGCCGCAGGACCAGCCGAAGATGTCAATGTGGATGATCGGCCTGCCTGCCCAGGGGGCAGCAGGCTCCGCGGCAGCCGCGGCAGCGCCAGCACGAGGAGGACGCCGCATCAAGCGACCCCGTGGCAAGGGGGGTGGGCCTGGCTCAGACGACGATGCGGATGCGGCACTCTCGGGGCGAATCTTCACCGCGCAGAAGCTGACGCTCAACAACGCCCAGGTGCTACGCATCTTGATGGGAGCTCTGTTGGACTGCCTGCTGCTGGCGCTGACGCACCAGGTGGTGCTGGTGACAGACGGGCAGAAGACGGGCCAGGAGTACCACCGCATCGCAACGGAAGAGGGGCGCAAAGTTCTCGTTCCGCCGCACCTGCACATCTTCGGGTGTATTATTCCCACGCTCGCGAAGATGCAGGGCTTGCCAGAAGATACCAAGGCGATCCTCGAGCCGCTCGAAAAGCTGATGACAGTGATGGACAGAGAGTTGGTGAACGAGCTGGTGCGCTACTTCCGCATCAAGAAGACGTACAACGAGGGCAACCAGAAAGCCGACCAGGCCAATATTCACATCATGGTGAATCCCATCGCGGTCAGCCCGTTCATGAGACCTCAGTTGTTGCAGAGATACAAGGAGAAGACGGGAGACCAGGCGGACATGCCTCAAGCAACGCTCGCGGAGATCCGCCTTCACATCATCAAAGGGCTGGTGGCCACAGGAGGCGTCGTGAAGTTGGGGAGTCCACCGCCAGGAGCTCTGGAGAGAGCCGTTCAAGCGTCGGTGCAGGAGCAATCGATGTAGCTGGACTTCAGAGAATGGCTCGTGCGGGCAGCGAGAGAGCAAAGTCAATATTGAGAGAGTTGAACAGACAGCGTCTGGAGTGAGAGGTGCACTGTATATCATGCCATGCAGTTTCCATTCAGTACTTAAATGCTGGAACGGATAAGTTTCTCTGCGTGGCTTGGATTTGCCTGGCAGTCGGTACCGAGAAGAACTACGCCGACAGCTGGACCTTCTACTGAGCTTGATGCAGTGTCAACGTGTTGAGAGAATGCTATCACTTTATTTTCCAAGCCTGGCGGCAGCAGGAGTCTGAGGAGGGGTGGAGGGATGTTGGGTTGGGAGGCGGAGGGGTCTGGAGGGGAGGACTTCGCAGCACGAAGGCACGCGTGCCGCAAACTTTTGACGCGGCCCGAAGAGGCCGCTGCACTGCTTTTGTTTCTTATGGTCCCTTTCCCCGAGGAGCCTCCCCCCGCACCTGTCTTCCCCGAGGTTGGGGTCATGGGCCCAAGTGCTCTAAGCCTCAGCGCTTTGCGAGTTGACCGAATGCGGTGCGCCTTCGTGCTAACGCGGGCTGTTGAAGGCCCGAGATAGGCTACAAAGTCCCGCAGGCTTGCCCGAGATGCGCATTGATCGTATCAGCAGCAATTGTTCGTGGCTAGAACTCTCACCCAGCAGAGGTGAACCAGAGAGCAGAGGACTACGGCTGCCCAGGTCTTGCTTGCTTGCTCCTCCTCCTCCTCCTCCTCCTCCTCCTCTTCCTCCTCCTCCTCCTCCTCCTCCTCCTCCTCCTCCTCCTCCTCCTCCTCCTCCTCCCCCTCCCCTCGAACCACAAAAATATTACGACAGGAGGTTGCTCGCTGTGTTCGGCCTCTGGGGGCCCTTGCCAGGCCTCGGGCCGTCAGAGACCGACTCGGGGCGGAATGCCGGTCCCGGGGACGGGGTCGAGACCCCTGGGGGTCGACGTTCTGCAAAATCAGGGCGTCGGGGGCAGCGAGGGCTGCAGAAAAGGCGCCCTCGATGGGCTCCCAGAGGGACCCTTCGGGGCCCCAAAGGGGGCCTTTCGGGCCCGAGGAGTGCACCCTCCTCCCCCCCATTGATCGCCGATCGCCCCCTCCCCAGCAAGCGACGCTCAAGAGGCGCCGAAGACGTCGCGCTGGCGCCCCACGCGCACGGCCTCGGAGGACAGCGACCGCCTGCTCGAGGCGCAGGCGAACCTGAACGAGTACCTCGCGCGCGCGGCGCGGGAGGGCGGCGGCCATGCCGTCGCGGGGCGGAGCTCGCGCCAGCGCCCTGGCCGCTCGGCCTCGAGGCCGAGTCGGGCCGGACGACAGGGGCAGGATGAGGAGGGGGGTGGGGGGGGGCGAAACCTGCTGCACGCAGCTGGTGTCCGTCCCGCCGCGGGGCGCATTCCCTGAGATCCTGGCGACTGTTTTTTCGAGCCGAGAGTTGTCGCCCGGTTTCGGGCCCGGGGACCCTCACAGATCGATCCGGCTCGAAAAATGAAGCAGAAAGATGGGGTCCAGGATTCTGGTCGTGATTTCTCACGATGTCGCAATTTGTTCTGAGACGTCGGATCTCAGGTTTCCTCGATGCATGGGCGCCTCCGGGCGCCAGGAGGCCCCAGGAAGACCAGCTGCGTGAGCTGATGCTCCACCCTGCCCTCTGCGATCCTACCCCCCCAGACAGGCGACGTCCTGATTTGTGCAATACAGCGGCCCTGGAAGTACCTCTAGCCTTTCCCCGGGACCGGCGTTTCGTCCCGAGTCGTTTTCTGGCGGTCCCGAGGCCTGGCGAGGGCCCGCCGAGGACAAAATCGGTCAAAGACCTCCCGCCTTATTTTTGTTACGACGCGACCTTGTCTGGGCCTTCGTCCCCCCCGATCGAGGGAGGGCGACCTGGGCAGCGGGCGCCGCGCCCTCGCGGCCGCGGGCGGCGGCACCCCGCCCGCGGCGCCGGGCGGCGCGCGCTGGCGCCCCGGAGCCCGCGCGGCCTCGGAGCCTGGGCGCCCGCCCGAGGTGCTCCAGGCCTCCCAGATGGGGAGGGCTCACGACGGTCTCCTCCTCCTCCTCCTCCTCCGCCTCCGCCTCCGTTTCCGCCTCCGCCTCCTCTTCCTCTTCCTCCTCCTCCTCCTCCTCCTCCTCCTCCTCCTCCTCTCTCCTCCTCCGCCTCCGTTTCCGCCTCCGCCTCCTTCCTCTTCCTCCTCCTCCTCCTCCTCCTCCTCCTCCTCTCCTTCTCCTCCTCCTCCGCCTCCGCCTCCGTTTCCGCCTCCGCCTCTCTTCCTCCTCCTCCTCCTCCTCCTCCTCCTCCTCCTCCTCCTCCTCCTCCTTCTCCTCCTCCTTCCTCCTCGTGGGACGGCTCAAGGCACCCATCCAGGGATGGGAAGGCTCACGACGGTCTCCTGCGAGGTCTGGAGCAGCGCTAGGCCTCCTAGATGAGTCCGAGTAGATGGGGTCGGAGGATCGCGCCGCATCGCCTATGCATCGGCGCTGCATCGGCGATGCGGCTCGATGTGAAGCTTGCGTCTCTCTACGCCGACGTCGCGGATGCATCGCTGGCGTCGCCAGTGCATCGCCAATGCGTCGGCGATGCATCGGCGATGCGGCTCGATGTGGAGCTTGCTTCTCTCCCTGCCGACGTCGCCAGTGCATCTCGCCGATGCCTCGGTGATGCATCGGCGATGCATCGGCGGTGCGGCGAGATCCTCCGACCCCGTCTGCTCCGACCCTATCCGGGAAGCCTCCAGAGGTGCGGAGCCCCGGCGGGCGCGGCTCGCCCACGGGCCAGGGGTGCGTCCACGACCCGTGCGAGCAGCTGCGCAGGGACCCGTCCTCTCCAGGCTGGGGGGGGGCTCGTCGCGGACGAAGCCCTGACCCAGACATGATCGCGCCGCTAAAAAAAACAGGATGGGAGGTTTTTGACCATATTCGGCCTCGGGTGGCCCTCTCCAGGCCTCGAGACCGTCAAAAAACGACTCAGGATGAAGAACCGGTCCCGTGGAAAGGGTCGGGACTTCCAGGGACCCCGCGTGAAAAATTCAGGACGTCGCGGCGGTCTCGCCCGGTTTCGGGCCCTGGTCCCCCCACAGATCAATGCGGCTCGAGAAATGACGCAGGAAGACGGGGTCCAGGGCTCCAGTGGTGATTTTTGAGAGAGCGTGATCAACCGCCGCTGTACTGTGGACTACTCCCCCCTTATTCCTCTGGAGCCAGGGGGTCCCCCCAACCCCCCCTCCGAAAATCCCGCCCCCCCTGCTCGACGCCCCCCCCTCCTTCCTTCCTTCCCCCCAGCAAAACCCCCTCTCGTCCGTAGACATTTTGGTTCAAGCGCATTCTGGCTTAGGTTTTCCACCTGGTCAGTCTCAACCATTCGTGTGCTCGGTTGAGCGCCGCCCGCGAGGCGGTGAAATCAAGGTACCATCATTCCAACGCCAGCGCCATGGTGCCCCCTCCGCCTGTTCCTCCCGCTGGTGTTCCTGGCGGCGCGGGGTGGGCAGTCCCCTCTGGGCAACCCGACGGCACGGGCTGGTCTGCAGGTCAAGGGAGCAAGAGCTGGACGCCATGGCACTGGCACCAGTACCAGCGTGGCCCACCGTGGCGTTGCACATCATGTGGTTGCAAGAAGAACAAGGCCAGCTGGCGGTTCTGCAAGCAGCGCAAGACCCCACGACCTCACCTTGAAGCCCAACCCAACAGCCTTTTGGTCGCAGGCGGAGTTTGGGCTTAAGGCCAAGGAGGTCATCAGCCAGCTGGACAGCCACTTCCTCTTCGTGCTGGACCTCACTTCATGGCTCAGCAGCCAATGGTAGTTGAGCAGACGGAACCGACCATTGCGGAGTTCGAGCAGCTCGTTCGTTTACTCGAGAATTGCGGGGGCGTGCAGGGGGGCAGCCAAGCAGAAGGAGGCCTTCGCCACCCGCAAGAAAGCTATGGAAGTGGAGGCGCCCCTCAGTCAGCAAGTCAACGGAGCCTTTTCAAGATCTTCGGATCTGCAGGGACCGCTGTGACAAGGCGTGCTCTCCTTATGAACGGTTGGCTGAGGAGCTCTCTAGACATCAATCTAAGCTACGTGAATGCTCGGAAGCTTTGGCTCTTGCAGAACAGAAGCATCTGCACTTGGTCGCCAAGCTCAACGCCTCGGTTTGCAAGAAGCCCAGCAGGGTCGAGATCAAGGGCGCCCTGGAGTGTAACTACCAGGACATACCAATCAGCGTTGATCCATTGCTCGGCCCCACCTCTGCATACTATGAGTTTTCGCAGCAGGAAAGAGATGACATCGACAACAGAGTTGCCAAGCTCAAGGAAGCCTTTCAGCAGTCTATCAGGGACCTCTTCGGCGGCATGGCTGGGCACTTCAAACAATTCCAGGCGCAGCATGCTCAGGAGGTCAAGCGCCTGGCGGGCAAAAGTCGCCGGTGAGGGCGAACAGCCACCAGCCGACGGTCCTGCTGATGAGCAGAAGGCGGAGTCCCCCGAGGGCATTACCGGCGGCGCAGCGGCGCCCCAGGCTGCCCAGCAGCCTGCAGCTCAGGCGCCTGCCGCCCTTGCAGCCGCCTGCTCCAGGTGCTGGTTCGGGGGCTCCGCCTACGGCCTGGACAGGGCCCTTGGAGGTTTTGCGGGGCCCGCGGTGGACGCGTCCTCGGCCGCGAACTCGGGCGTCGACGACGCTGCTGGCAGGCCGCGTCGGTACCAGGGCAGGTCGTCGAAGGCCAAGCAGCGCACGAAACAAGGCTAAGGGCCGCACTGCGCGTCTAGCGAGGCTTCGACCCACCATTGGTGGGCAGCGGCGCAAGAATTGTTTCTCGGCTGGCCCAGCCGCGTACGGTTGCGACATTTCGGTATTTCGGATTTTGAACACCTGCAGCTGCGGCGGCTTGCAGGTCAGGTTATGAAGCCGCCGGCGCAAGGAAGGAGCTTGACCGCGCTCCTCCTGCGCCTCGGCGACCCCGCTTGGATCGCCGCCGTGGCCCCGATCGCGAGATGGGCCAAGGAAGTCTGGATCGCGCACCGCAGGCTTGCTACCTTTCTCCACCTCGTTCGCCACGCTTCGTTCGGCTTGGAACGCCGTGTTCTCCAGGGGCCGTGGATAGTGGAGGTCCGTTTCGGGCCCGATCAGCGCGATGAGGAAGAATCTCGTGGTCCATCCCCTCCTTCACTGTGCTCCGCAATGATCGCGGCATAGATATTCGCGCGACGGAAGTCTCGGCTTCCATGGTTAGGTCCTTTTTGAAGAGGGCGGCCACTAAAACGCTCGAGTGGGATCTCGGGGCCAGGCTCAATGTGGGCCGTGCCTGTGGTGACGGTATCTGGTCTTGGCTTCGTAGCAGCAAGATGACTCCGTTCGAGAAGGGGTTCATCCGATCGTTGTTCTGCCATGCGATCTATACCCGATCTCGCGCTCGAGGGTCAGGGTGCAAGATCTCGACCACTTGCGATATGTGTGGAGAAGCCGACGACACACCTAGGCACAGACTATGGGAATGTTCTGCCTGCGAGGAGGCTCGCGCCTCCCTCATCCCTTCTAGGGTGCGCGAATGGGCTGAGCAAGCCGACGATGTTCTAGCTTCCTTTCCTTGGGTTGTCGGGCATCCAGATGAACAAAAAATCTTCAGCTTATGTATTTCGATGGAATCGTTGCCGGGTTGTGCCCAGGCGTCGAGCACCCGGACTTCGAAACCTCGTTTTCTGGTGAACTGTTCGTGGCCGGGTCCTGCTTCAACCGTGTCATCCCTGAGTTGTCCCGAGCGGGCGGGGCTGCCACGCTGCTGGGTCGCCGGACAAACGAGGAGGTGATTCGCATCAGGGGTCCTGTCTGGCCCCCCTATTCCCAAACCCTTCAAAGCGCAGAGTATGACGCCGTCGCTGCAGCCGCTCGGCATCTCAGTGGGCTCTCCACGATTTTCAGTGAGTGTTTAAACGTGTGTGATTATGTGAGAATGTACCGGGCGAACCAGACAATTATGGCTGCTGGCTGCGTTCAATTCATTTGTCACAACCTTCTCAAAACCAACATGCAGAAGGTTAAAGCGCACCTATGTGGATGCAACCACAGATTCGGATGACAAGTTTAAGCGATTGGGGAACAACCTAGTCGACGTTTCTGCCAAAGTTGCCGCCCGCTTTCACCTTCAGCCTTGCCCGCTCGTTAGGCAGGCTGGATCAGAAGATTGCTGTCTCGCGCGCGGGGTTGGTGTTTTGGCAGCAAAGTTGTTGCCCCTTTGGCCGCCCCTGCGGCCAGGAGAGGGAGTTGAGCGTGAGAAACCGCCTGCGGCGCCCCGTGCCGACCTCGCCCCGCACCGCTGGACTCGCCTCTCGAGATTCTGGCGTTGTGATGGTTGTTGTAAGGTCTCCCGCTCCGACAGTCTTCCGCTGCCTGGTCATTGTCGGGGCCTACAGAAGCTAGACCCTGATGTGTTGAGCAGGCTCCAGCACCGAGTCATAAACCTTGAGTGCTCAGATGGCGTTTCTTTGGTGGTGTGTTTAAAATGCACGGCCTACTCTGGGCACGGTAAGATGCGCAACTTTGCGCGCAATTGTCTCGGTCTCCCCAGAAGCGCGGGAGCCAGATTCGCTTGGAAGCAGATTTCCCAGGGCTTTCACCCGAAATTCCCAGGAGTCACTGTCCAGGTCGGGCCTTGGTCACATGTTACCTGAGGTAACCGACCAGGGGAAGCCGTATTCCCTCGCTGCGGCTTTTGTTTTTTTTCAAATGTGAAAGGCCTCGCGGAGGGCCAGCAAAACCCTCTTCCCCCTAAACCCCCCCCCCCCCCAGAAAACCGGGGGGGTGGGGCGCTACCGGTTCGGACCCCCCCCCATTCGCCGGCGGCCGCAAACGATTCCTGGGCCCCAACCACCGCCCTCACAACTGTCCCCACCACCACTGTCCCCACCACTGTCCCACTGCCCCCAACGTTCCCACCATTACCCCCACCAGTGCCCCCACCACTGTCGCACTGTCCCCACAGTCCCCATCACAATCCCCACCACAATCCCCATGTCCCCACTGTCCCAACTTCCCCACTGGTCCCACCAGTGTCCCCACTGTCCCCACCAGCATCTCCATTGTCCCATTGTCCCACCACCGTCCTCACCACCGTCCTCACCACTATCGCCATCACCACCGTCCCCGCCTCGGCCCTACTGTCCCCACTGTCCCCACCACTGTCCCACTGTCCCCACACCACTCTCCCCACCACCACCGTCCCCACCCACTGTCCCCAGTCTCCCCACCACTGTCCCACTGTCCCCACTGCTCCCACAATTGTCCCCACCAGTGCTCCCACCAATGTCTCACTGTCCCCGCTGTCCCCGCCAGCGTCCCCACACCACTGTCCCCACCACCGCCGCCCCCACCACAGTCCCACTGTCCCCACCACTGTCCCCACCAGTTTTCCCACTGTCCCCACCCGTGCCCGCACCGGTGTCTCACTGTCCCCACTGTCCCCGCCAGTGTCCCCACCACGGTCCCACACCACTGTCCCACCGCTGTCCCCACTCCCCACCCCCGCCCCCGCCCCCGCCACCGCCCGAACCACTGTCCCCACCACGGTCTCCCATCTGGAGCGGGGGGGGAGAGGGAGTCGTTTGACGGCGGCGAGGAGGGGAGGGGGCATGACCGAACTTGTATTGGCAACGTTGGATCTGAGGGAGCACGTCCGTTTCCGCGGCCTCGCGGGCCGGGGCCCGGCCCCTGGACCGCGCCCCCGCGGGCGCGGGACTTTATCTCGCGGGTGCCCCGCGCGGAGCGTATCCGTGCAGCCGCACATCCGAAGGATGGAGCCTTGGAGTCCAGACCTCGAGGGCGTTGGGCATGATGTTCCAGCCCAGTGCGACCTTAATCGCCAGAAAGAATTTCGAGCACCAAGAAAGTACCGAAACTTGAGGGTCTTCACGCGTCGGGCCCTGGGAGACGATAGCGGGGGCAATCGATTAAGAAAATGCCCCCCCCGGGGGGCCCCAAAATGAATGAGCGGGGCAGACTAATAGAATTCAACCGCCAGAAACTGTTTTTAATCGTCTGCCCCCCTGGCGTTTTATTTTGCCGCCTTGCGGAAACTGCTGTTCTATTCGTCCTCATGCGTTCGTTTGATCACCCGCGGCCGCGGGAAGAGGATTGCGGAGAGGGGGCGTCGGAAGCGCCGCTAGAGAGTCCCAGCGCAGATGCAGGACATCCACTGAGGACCGCCGAAAGTTTATGTTTATGCAGTTTTTTCGTTCCCGACTTGAGAACCAACCTGGGGACGGCCCAGCTGTCGTCCTCGCGGACGGCGGCATGAGCTTGAAAATGAGGCCAACGCTGCCGCGGGAGCAGCGTATCGGAAGAACCTAACAAGATTGGATTGAACAACAGATATGAACAACACACTCCCCCAATCCCCTGTGTAGAAACACAGCACGCAGGAGGATTCGAACCGAGCGGAAGCTCGAAAATGAGGCCAGCGCTACCGCGGGAACAACATTTTGGAAGAGCCGAACACGAACCGATTGAAAAAACAATATGAGGAACGGATTCGCGCCAAACCTGGTGTGAAATTGAGAACACAATACGCGGAGGGACGCAGGCAACCTTCCAGAGTGCATCAGGGGAGAACGGGGAATAGTTCCCAAATCAGAGTTTGCCTCTGTAGGGGTCCTAGCGGATTCATATCATTTGGTTAGGCTTGCCGCCGATTTTCGCCGCACGCCCGAGTGCCCGGGTGCCCGGGAGTGCCCGGGTGCCCGGGTGCCCGGGCGCCCGGGTGCCCGGGCGCGCCTGGGGGTGCCCGGGTGCCCGGGGGTGCCCGATAGCCCACTAGCCCAATAGCCCATATAGCCCATATAGCCTTGTAGCCCTATATCCCTACCTATACGACCACCCTTCGGGTGATAAGGAGGTTCGGGGGGGGGAGGAACCAACGTCTCACTCGATCGGTCTCACTATCGATCTCACTATCGATATCACTATCGGTCTCGCTCGATCGATCTCACTCGATCGATCTCTCAATCAATTCACTCGATCTTTTTCATTTGATCGATCTCACAATCGATCTCACTATCGATCTCACTATCGATCTCACAATCGATCTTACATTCGGTCTAACTATCGATCTCACCATCGATATCACAATCGATATCACAATCAACGTCACCATCATCATCATCATCATCATCATCACCACCATCATCATCATCATCATCGTCATCAACACCATCGTCATCAACGTCATCAACATCATCACCATCACTGGGGCACCATCACCATCATCACCTCATCATCCTCAGCATCAATATCATCATTATCACCATCATCATCATCGGGACACCATCATCGGCACCATCGTCATCATCAGCATCAGGACACCATCATCATCATCAGCGTCATCATCATCGGAACACCACCATCATCATCATCATTCTCATATCATCATCGTGATCATGATCAACATCATCAACATCAGCATCATCATCGGGACACCATCATCATCATCATCAGCATCATCATCATCATCATCATCATTAACAACCGCATCCTCATCAACATCATCACCATCATCGGAACACCATCAGCATCGTCACCACCATCACCATCACCATCACCATCAGCATCATCGGGGCCCCATC